TCGATCTGACCCGCGTTAAGGTCATTGACGAGATCAAGGCCTGTGCGTGCTGGAGCCGACGATCAGCAAGACGAGGCAGCTCAAGAGTGCCGTGGAGGCGTGCATCAGCATTATGCGCATCGACACACTTATCAAGCTGGACCCCGAGCAGCGCGGCGAGGAGGACGATGGCCACGGCCACTAAAAGGAGGACAGCGCGCCGCTGCGGTCCGAGGGCTCACAAAGACGAGATGACGAACCGAGACGAGAACGCTACGAGGATGAAAATGGGGTGCACGTGTAGGAACACCTAGAGCTGATTCATAGATGGACCAACTTCGCAATGATACCTTGGTATGCCTGCTCATTGCTTCTCTCTCTCTCTCTCTCTCTCTCTTTCTCTCTTTCTCTTGTTACCCGACCTGTTGCCGTTGCGAAGACTCCTGCTCATCTGTATGTGTGTACGCGGCGCTCATGCATACTACAGCTGTTTCCTACTGATTTCTAGAGGTTGCGATGTTGCCATCTACTGCCAAGCTATCCTCCTTTGTGCCCCAAACCCAAAGGCAGACGCACATACACTAACACCAGCCAAACTTCTCGTTGGCAACCCAATCAACCTCGCCATCACCGTACCACATGAGGCACGCGATGCTCGTGTCCTGCCTGTCGACAAACTCGTGTGGCAAGCCCGCCCTGTCGATGGCAGCCCGCAGCTTCGCCGTCGGGTTCCACAGCTCGACATTGTTCACCTTCCACGCAGCGGCCTCTTCCCGCGCGAGCCCGAGAATGGCGCCCATGGCCTCGGCCAGGTACGCCTCGTCGGCGGCATCTTCGTCCTCGATGGAGACACGCAGGATGTGGAACGTGTTGCCCTCGGGCTTCTTGAGGCCGCCGTAGTAGCCGCGCGTCCAGACGGCCCAGACGCGGTTCCCCGGCGCGCCGAAGACGGCGCCGCGGATGCTCGGCGTCTTGCAGAAGATGTGCGTCGTGTGCGTCCGTCAAAAAAGTCCTCGCGCATCAGGTGCCCAGAGCGTGGCGTCGAGGTCCGGGATCAGGGGCGACGCGCGTGCGGCTGTCGGAGGTGGGACGCGCCAACTGCGCGCGGAGCAGCTGCTCGTCGAGGGAGCAGAGCACGGCGAGCTCGTGGTAGCCGATGTGCGTCAGGTTGGCGGACGGCGACGGCTTCGTCTCGGTTTCTGGAGACGCCGACGTGGCCGGCGGGAAGGACAGGTGGGCCGACTCGTAGGCGGGCCAGCCGCTCTTGGCGTAAAAGGTCTTGCCAATGTCGGAGAAGAGGATGGAGAAGGCGACCTCGCGGTCG